GGCACCCTCTTCTTCATAGTATCTGAAATAATGTAAATATTCAACGTGGTTAGGCGGAAGAGAAGGCCCACCAGTAATAAAGACAATATCATTATTGCTGTTGTTATTATAATTATTATTATTCAGAACAGGATCAGACATGAAATTTTTAAATAGAAATTAGAAATAGACTTTATTTTAAATGCATTAAATCTGTGTTGCTTCAGATATTCGAAGCATTTTCTTACCAATTCATAACTATCTTATAAGATTCTACATAGATCACCAAATCTTGTTCATTTGATCGGATAGGTATTTAGTGTAAATCACAATAGATACTGAACGTGTAAATGAAACTATCTTCATGAATGTCTTATTGAACCGATTAGGGTTGGCTTGCGAAGCGATGACTGTTCTATCGGCAGAAACCAGCAAGCTCTCTTCCTGTAAAATGAGTCCTACGCTCATTTTAACGCGACTCGCAGGGATTTTGCACGTTGTTCTCGAACCATTCATAATCGCTCTGTATTTTTAGTTGAAAAAAGTACTATCAACATATTCCGGAATCCTCTTTGCATTTTTTTTTCATTTAACATAACGTGATGCTTCCAAATCACGAAGCCACCAATTACGAGCAAGCAGGAAGACTCTTTTGCTATCTAGTCTCACATGTGGCTGACAGTAACCTCTATTTCGGGTATTCGATCATCTATGACTTCGGGTCTCGTGAAAGCAGTTGACCTTGACGTGGAGATTTGGTCCAGTGTAGGCTGGGTGAGGGGTAAAAGGGGAACTAGTAGTGCGGCCTCTCCTCCCCAATCGCTGTGCTGGCTTTCATCCCTCTCCCTTCCCTCAGCCCTGCGCGCTCGGCGCTTCTCGCCAGCAGGAGCTTTGAAGCCCTCGGCGTCAATAACGCATCTTCCGCGTATTCGCCCTCCCTCCGCCGTCCTCCGGCGCGCTCCTCGCACCGCCCGCGCACGGCCACAGAGCCACCCGCCGCTGCCCACGCATCGCCTTCTCAATTCTCTATCGCCCGCCTCGCCTCCACTCACGCACTTAGCACTCTCCGCCCTCCACGTCCCTAGGCCTTCCTCCTCCGATCTCTGCTCGCTTCGCTTTCTTCGCTTTTTTCCTCTATTACCGGCGTCTCTACTATTACAAACTCCGACTTCTAGTCGTTCTCGAACGCTGGGGCAGACACCTAACAAATGGGCCAGCGCGATCTTTCCTTTCTCTTCCCTGTCATATCCTCACCCCTTACTTACACACAGTTATACTTGCGTGTTCTACATAATCACGATTGCCCCGGATCGGGCGGTGACGGTAGGCCCGGAAGATCACCCACACATCCTGAAGAGAAAGCGTGCACTACACTTGCGGGGCCACTGACCTTCGCAGTGGACGCTCTTGGAATTAATATCAATCAATCATAACTATGCCCCCTCCAACCGAACGTTTTTCGCAACCCTTCTCTGCCTTCCACCGTCCTTCACGCTCCTCCGCCATTCTCCTTCACTAAACGTCGGCCTCCATCTCCTTCCATCATTTTTGTCGCTTTCCTTATACTTCTTCCATTACCTTTGACCTTCATACGCCGTACCTTCCACCATCTCACATGTCTTCTGCCATTCTCCGTCTCATTCCACAGTTCTCGGACACCCGGGCAGCTTCCGTCACTCAGCGGTCCCCGTCTGCTCTCGTCTGCCCAACGCCGCTCTCAGCCAACATCCGCGCCGCCCTCCGGCTCTGTCCTATTTTTCTGGACTCTCACCCCGCGGCCCGCCAACTCCCTTTTGCGCTAGCTGCGGCTGCCCCTGCGCGCCCCGCGCCGCCCCGCGTCGCCCGCGCCCACCCCCGGACGCCCCCGCCCGCCCGCCACCGCCGCCCGTCTGCCGCCGCCCGGCCGCGCCCCGCGCCGCCCCCGGCGCGCCCCTGCGCGCCCTGCGCGCCCTCGCGCGCCCCTGCGCCGCCGCCTGCGCTCCCCTGGCCGCCCCTGCGCGCCCCTGCGCCGCCCTGCGCCGCCCTGCGCGGGGCACGCGAAGCTGCTGTAATTGGGGGCCGCGAGCGCGCAGCCGGGGTTTGTTGGTGAGCGCAGAAATTGGATTTTGCGCCTGGCCAGCTCCACTTAGTGGCGGCGGCCTTCACTCAGCTTCGTTTCAGACGCGCATGGGGCCCCTGCCCGTTATTATTGTTTCACAATTCGGTGCTGCTCATGTGGAAGATCTGGGATACGAGCCTTCTGCGAGGAATTTGAAACGTTTTGTGAAGTTCGACAAATCGAACGGAGATGAAAGGCCGGAATTAATTATGTATTCAGTATTATCCATATTTTACTGATGATTAATTTTTTCTCTACGTACGAGATTTCATCTCAAATACTGCACACTCACGTAAATGCTTTTATAAAAAAATAATTATATGTCAAAGAGCAGTAATCTACATCCATTGAATAGTCTACCAATATTCAATGAACACTGTGAATATTCCGAATTGCCTTTAGCCCCTGTATCAACTCTACGGTGAAGAGTGGTAACGTAGGAATTGACATTAATATGCAATTCTGGTGACAATTTTTCTACAAAATCACCAACAGAATGGAGACATTTATCGAATCATTTCCAAGGATTAACTTTTATATCAGTGTCGTACAAGTCTGCCACTTAGATTCGTACCACTGTTTAACTGCCACCTACAATTTTGATGTGCGTCACTGTGATACGAGTAATGCGATCTAATAAGGATTTCATGAGGAATCACAGGAGATCACTGGGAGGTGAGAAATGGATTTCAAGGTAGCAAAAATCTCCCAGTAGCTAATGTGTGTTTGAACGTTTGAGCATCCTTCATATTCCCATTTCTATCAATGATATAAGCATACACTGATTGTGTCTTTGTTCGGATTTGCTCACAATGACAAGCTCGACATGACATGTGATTTGTTTGAAAAACAAAGAATTTTTTTACCAGTAATAAATACCACGCGGGTTTTCTGTTAATATGAGCATGATTTTTTCATGAACCGAATATTTCTACCTTTCCCTTTTCTCCGAAAAATACGCGGGTCACCCGACAGCCGGGAAGGGGAAGAAAGGGCACAAACAGCCAAGCGCCTAATTGTGTTAGCGCGCGGGCGCGAGCCGGTCGAAATTGCGGCGGCGCCGGAGCGCGCGAGCATTGCGTATTCCTGCCCCGCCTCGCCCGCGCGCTAATCCAGGCGGAAGGCCGCCGCGCAGCGCGTCACTTCGGCGGGCGCCGAAGATTGTGTGGCTTGTGGGCGACGCCGAATGGAAAAGGTGAAGTTTTCTGTCTGCGCGGCCCGCCATGCCCCGCCTCGCCCCGCCCCGCCCTTCCCCGCCTCATCGCATCCCCTCCATTTCCCTTTGTGGGGGCGGCGGTATTTGCATCGACAGGGCGGCGACCGTCGCTATTGAATCCGTAATTCTAGATCCGGCCGCGAGAACCGAAGGACGGAGGGTCGTGAACAGGGGAGGTCTTGGGAGGGAGGGAGGGAGAGAAAGAGGGAAAAGGACCCGGCAGCGGTCCTTGGGGAACGCCACCTTGGCCTCCGCGTAATGAGCGCAGCCCCGGCACCTCGAGGCGGACGCGTCTTCAGTCGCCCTCGTCGACTCGGGAAGATTCATGAGCGAGGTGCGTGCTCCACGCGAGGCAGCTGCAGCTTTGAAAGAAAACAGCACGTCTTTATACTCTGAAAGGAGCTCGCGACATTCGAATCCAGCAAAGATCCAAACTCGAGAGTTACGTTGCGTCATAATTTGAATAATTGTATTTTTTATTTCCTGAAAGGTCTTAAGTGAATATCCCGAATGAACGGTTTCTACTATAAAATACATCTTGAAATGACAACCTTTTTGTAATTTTTCAGTATCTTTACTCACTGCTTCTCATTCTTCGTGTGTGAAGGTAGTCGTCCTGCTGTTCTGACGAACGATTCTGCTCTATGGATTAATAGCTGCAGTGTTCAGTGCTGTGAAATATTCCGTTTCCACTTAAAAGCATACTATCAATTATGTTATTTTATATACATACGGTATATTATATATGCGTGGAATTCAGTTTCAAATGAAGGTCTGTTCCAGGATATTGAGAACCTAAAGAGAGATATTTTGGGCGCTTAACTGTGATTACCATATTTTTGCTATAGATGGTCAGACAATATGATAATGTGCGCAGATGACGTGCTTTTGAAACCCTTCTTATTCTCTAACCCTGTAAATCGAGTGAATATGTACGTGGGTATGTTTTTGCTGATATGTGCTCTGGCGATAAAAAGCCGCTAATTGAACTTGGAATTGTGGATTCAGTGCATTTCTCAAGCACTTGTAGAGTAATGTGATGTTATATATCTTCCCCCAGGGTGTTCAGTACTTGTACGGTAATCTGAAGTGCAATGATATGTACTAATTGTGATGTTTTGGGTAGGCAGATACTCTGGTTTCAATGAATTTCTATTGCTCTACAATCTCTAAGGTAAGTGTCGTTATTATCTGTAGAGAGTGTGCAGTGTGTTCGGATCCTGTAATTACAAACAAATACTTATCCTCTTGTTTTGAGTATTTATTACGCAATTTCTTTAACTTTCTCTACTCTGGTCAGCGGTGTGAAAAGATTCTGTGGTTTCGAAGAATATCTTGTTGTTGAGCACGTTAATGGTGACCTGGTGAAAATGTGTGCTCGATGTGTGATGACGATGTGCGTGTCTGCGCAGGTGCTATGTTTTCAATAACATTTCTTTACTCCAGTCTGTCTTGAATACCTGCAATCAGGGTGATCTGTTGCGGTGACATAATGACACTGCAGTGTGCGCACAAGCTATTTTACCAATTAATATCATCTGGTTTACTGTGTTGAGCACCCGTAGAATGAACTGATGAATACGTGTGCTCGATGTGTGACTGATAGCGGTGAGCTGTGTGCGAAAAGTCCTGTCGTTCCATAGGTTCTGCTCCACTGTTGAGCACCTGTAGACTGCATTGGTGAATAAGTGTGATCGATGTGTGCTGATGGCGGTGTGGCTGTGGTGTGTGCAGGTGCTAATGGTTCCATATGTTCTGCTCATGTTGAGCAACTGTAGAGATGATCTGGTGAATAAGTGTGGTCGATGTGTGCTGAGGCGGTGTGCTGTGTGTGCGCAGGTGGCTTGTGGTTTCGCACACCCTGCGCCTGGAAGACGTCGGAGCGCAAATCATGGAGGTGCGAGGCTCTCGGAACGCTCATTCTGCGGCAAGGTGCAGAGCAACGACTTCGGCAACTACAGCTGCGTCGCCGACAACAACCTGGGCAAGGCCCGACAGCACTTGCAGCTCTCGGGTACGATTGTGCATTGCATGTACTATAACTGTGCAAGACCAGCGACTATCTTTACGGTCAATTACTAAGCTGTTACTAAGGATATACAATTACTAAGTATTCATCCACAAAAACAAAGGACGTTTTGCGTAACAATTTATTGTGACATATAGGATATATATTCCAAAATATTTTTTAACTCGAAAACAAACTAATTTTTAAATATCTTTGGATCAAACGAGTTAATCCGGTGTCATAAATGTCTGTCGCGTGAAGTCTAAACCAGTGGTTGGTAGCCGATATGCACTTATCTGACACTGTGATACCGTTTAGCGGAGAGAAATTTAAGAAAAAGTTGGAAACCATTTAAACTCTGGAAATACATGTGCATATTGATGCAGATGAGAACTTAAGATCAGTTGAGGGCCTAGACGCATATGACAGTGATCAGAATGGCAACACTGGCCCTTATCACGTCTAGCCCACACATACGGTGCAGTTAAAATACATGTTGATTGGTGCAGCAGTCTACTTAAAACGTTCAAACACCTTATCAGCCTGAAACTCGTAGAGAAGAGATAAGGGGACAAATCGCTTTCATAATCTGTTACAGATGTCGTTGTCAGCATTGTCATTTGCATTCATTTGACGTTTAAATTTCTTAGGCCAGCTTACCAGCATCGAGACCACTGCGTGATAGCTTTTGTCTAGAGTGAAACTTGCTCTGTACACGACTCCCACTTAAATATCGGTGGCGGAAATTATTCCGTGTCTATCGCATTATTAAGCTTATGGTATTTTTAATGCGACGTTAGTCCATTTCCAGTGTTTTTCGAGTTTTTCTTATCAATATATTTTTAAGATGATTTTCCATCATGCAACCAAATACTGTGTTCAATTACAGCATTTCTTCTAAGTTAAATAATATCCGAAAAGTCATAAAAATTTTGAAAAAAATATAGTTAAAAAATTACCTAACACCACATTATAATATAAGATACCTTTAATTATTAAATTTTTAACACGATAAACCCTCCTTAATGTAAATCAATAAATACCAGTCTTTGTCAAAATACACTACAAAAAACAAATAGAGAAGCGAATAAAAAGGAAAAAAAACTTGTCTTCACTGTACCGCAACCATTCAACTTTACGTAAATATTGGCTGCTCAATACTTTGTAACAGTATACTACCTAATTACGGCACATTTCACTTCACTTTCAGTACGCATTTCGTCCTATCAACTAATTTTCTTTTTTTTCCTTAAAACCCCTCAGCGAGCGAGGAAAGGGCTAAAAAAACTACCGCAGGAGAGCCGTTTCAATCTACTATTGTTCGGTTTACAAAGAAGGATTTGCCTACGTCCCTTCTATGTTCTCTTGTTAAGAGAACTTGTTAAGAAAATAACTTTAAAAAAAGCTCTTAAAATAAGAAATCAATAAAATGTAGATAAACGAGATGTCATATATGTACGTTGATATAAGCAAAAAAAGGACACAACAAAAACATATGAAATAAGCTTAATATCTATCCTTATAAGTCATACTTCAAAAAGGTCATTTACTCTGCCTTCGGAAGATAATAAAACACTTTGTCCTTCGCCACAAAATTAACTTTAGTCTCAGATTAAACCTGAAAATGAAATTTTGTATGTAGTGTGTTATGTCAGTACTTGAACTTTTTTCTAATCTGGCTTTTCAACCTTGGTTTTCATTTCAATGATTTTTTATTGGAAGAAATATTAAAGAAACATTGTGAATTTATAAAGAAACGAGCTTCTTATTACAAAATCGATCAATATCAACACACTGACTTTATTGTCATAGAAGTTACCTAAGAATATATTTAATTGTAAATTTTATACGCAAGTTACATTTTAATGAACGTGATCACAATTTATGGAGTATGGTTGTTTTACATTTCTCGACATTTATCTTCTGCGTAAGTTTGCTTGACTCTTTACACCTTATCTTTTACGGAAAACAGTTGAACCTTGAATAGGCATTGAAAACGCATTTAGATGTCATTTGATGAAAAAATATTAAATTATTTGCATCAGAATATCAATTTGCAGCGTCAACCGAGCTACAGGTTTTTGATTTTTCAATGAGTGACAATTCTGCAGTAACACTGGTGCAGGAGGAAATAAAAAAATCCACCCTGTTCTCGCAGCTAATAAGATTTAAAACAATTATATACGTTGATATTGACATGCGTTTTTTTGGACATATTTGATGAGTACGAATATTCCTTAGGAGAATGATTGTCAGTGTAAACATTCCTTCCACCTGTTCACACTTTTCTCATTTTCATTTGTGCAACTTCACAGTTTTTGGTGAATAATTATAACTTAAGCATTATGTTTTAGGAGTACAAGAACGAGGTTTGTGAGAGAAGGTGGACGTAATTTAGGTAATTTCGTAATTTAGGTTGGGTGGAAGAAGTCTGTGCAAACTCGATCTTCATTTAACCAAACGAGAGCACATGGCACTTGCGCAGATTGCACGTTGAATCCTCTGTTCTGTAGTTCCCACGATCTGAAGCGTTCCGGATGGGGCTGAAAGGCTGCATCAGCCAAGCGGGAGGGGCGGGGGAGGGGCGGGATCGTCCGCCGGACTTAGGCGGGGGCGGGTTGAGGGGGCCGAGCACAGGATACGGGAACGCCTATTGATGGGGCTGAACTTTTAAGGGCCCATGAAGTGACGCTTTCGCGATGTGACCAATTTGCACGGGCCAAGGTGCTCTTTCAAAGAGTAATTCTGCTGAGCGCGCCCATCGAAGGCGAAGCCTGGAGAGTCTTAACTCGGAGATGTCCTTTTTACCTGCGATTTTGACGTCGCGTTTCACGTGGGCGGGACGCGCCCAAATAAATTCGCTGGTCGCAGAGACGGCGGCGGCTACATGCCATTATTTTTATGGTACGCAATAAGTATTCATTTCAGACAGACTGTTTTTTCAGGCGCGTAATCAAAGTGTGATTTCTTGAGGGAGAAGAGATAGTTTAAAAAAATCTTTAAGGGCGTGGAAAAGTGTGAACGGAATGAGATCTACAATAATTTCTTTTACTACAAAATGGAAATGATCAGCGAGAAACGTCGTAAACTGAAATCGAAGTCTTTTGTATAAAACTCGCCTTTTTTTCGCAAACGCGTATTATATGCGTACATGAAATTCTCATTACGGGAATAAGCAAGCTCGAGGTTCTGAACACGAATAAGTAAAATTCAAATCGTAGTGTTGAGGTAATTCCAGTATCCATTTCTTATATGTAGACACTTATGTTATTTTTCAGTATGTTCCAGGTAATATTTCTTAATGTGTAGGGAGCAAACTCTTTTGCCAAGAAAACAAATTTTAATTAAATTGCGGTTTATTGTTGGATAATATCAAAACGCACACTTACTGGCTTTGGGAATACTAAGATACTACTTACATTTCGCGACAAAATGCATCAAGTGGTTTTTTAATATATGTAATGGTTTTCCATTTTATTTGTGATAACACGTGGAATTCTTCAAATCGTACGTAATTGTGTTCAGGTACTCGTACTTCAGTTAACTCACATTAGAAATTATAATGTATCATTTTTTCGAAATCATAATTTTTGTCCCAGGTGTTCAACTGATTGCTTATAATTTTGTAAATATATTAATGTTTATTTCAGATGAACAACTGAGGTGGTTCAGAGCATCTGAGGGGATGTCACCGCGGGTGCTGGACTGGGAGGTCCTAGGTTTTAAACGTCTACGCTGGCAGGATTTTGACTACGTTCAAAGCTAGGTTCGTATTAAAGCTGCTGGTCTGGATTAAAACTATGGGCGATGCAGCCTGCTTCTGACTGTAGATTCCAAGATTTTCTGATCACGCAAGCCGAAAGGAGAAAGCAGTGCTAACACTGACAGGACGTGCGCGATCTGTCCTTTCCATCTTGTAACTATCCTCACTCCTATTACAACCGATTCACACTTAGCATGCGCTATCTCACCAACACGGATATCGAGAGACAGTTTCGCGCTTTCGCTGTTTCCTGAGGGCGTTTGTCCTACTGATGGAAGATATTTAGTTTAGGGAATGACAAGTAGGTTTGGCGCGGATCTTACATCAGCGGGGACAGTTCTTCGGACAACCTCTCGGCGAAGAATCATGGACTACACATTCGGGAATAATTCTCTTATCAGTTTGATGCGCGCGAAACCCGAATGATTGAAATCAATGAATTATCTGGACTGATGCATTTAAAGTTCTCCTACGTTTTGGGTGGATTGCACAGTGGGTTTTACAAAATGCAAGCACGTGCTCCAGGGCTTGGTGTCAAGGCTGAGCATCAACGCTCCCGCTGCCCCTTCTTCCTTTCCCTACTTCCTTCTTCTCATTGGGTAGCTACATCCTCAAAAATGCGTCATTCGCGCTTTGTATTGGCCGAGGCAAAGTAGTGAGGGTGCTTTCTCACCGTGGTAGTTTGTGAGTTTTTTTGAGGCACTCGTACTTTAGAGCCATAAAAGCTTTGGGGTGGGGGCAGAGCCCAAACTTTCTGTGTCGACAGGTCAGTATGTCAAGATTGGTGGACATTACAGTTAAGCTGTAGTTCAAATGAATGTGTATTATAACTCGGGCAACCTTGTCAATTAGCAGTCGACATTTTCTCACTGGTATTCAACGGCAATCCTATTCTTTGGGCGCTGACCTTTTGCCTTTCCTTCACTAATTCATATCTCTTACTGCCTATACTCCTACTGCTCCGTGTTCTCCCAGCTTCATATCCCGGCGGGAGCGGCTTGCTGTGTCGAGCCGCGTGAAAGGAGTGCGTTCGGGGGGGAGGAGGCGCTGGTGAGTGGGGCGTCCGCGGACCCACCAGCAAGAGCCATTTGCGCGCAGCTGGCGACTTGCCGCTTCGCACTTTCCGCCGGGAGAGGGATGCTCAGGGAATCAACTGATGTCACTGCAGTGCCTCTGACGGCGGGAGGTCCTAGGTTGAGAAACTTTGGTGGCAGGAGTTTTGAACTATGTTGTCACCGGGCGC